GCTTTATATGAAAATGGTGATTGTCATTCGAAAAGACTTGTCGTTATATCGTATCATTATTAATTAATATTAATAATATTTTCGTACAATATAGACCGTAAATAAACATTTAAAAACACAAGCTACATAAAACCATAATCATAATATATAAATAACTATTTAATCAAGGACTAATCAACTTTTATACGAACATTTTAACAAAAGCTTTTAGCAAAATTACTGTCAATAACCAAAATTATAATAAAATGTATTATTATAGCCATCATACAGGATACGGGTACGTACGGTATTTAAAATTTTCAATATGTATTTTTCACGAAAATTTAAATATTGGGTTTGATCGATTATTTTTGTTTTTATGTACTCTAGGCTAGTTAGTAACATTTAAATATTTTATGGTTTATAATACCAATATTGAGCATAAATAAAAATAATCTACGTTGGTAGCTATAATCAACAATTCTCCATTTTCCTGTAGGACAATAGGCGACTGTTGGTTTACCTTACATTTTTTGGTTTCCGACAGTTGCTTCAAACAATATTTAAATCATCAAACCTAAATAATGACAAACTAATATATATATATATACTTTTTTATTTTTTTATTGAACGTATAAACATCGGCTACTGGGCCATTAGTTGTAGATAACATTTTTTTTTTTTAATTTATATTTAACATTTAATAAAGGCTAAATTAAGTTATATAATTTGATTTCCTTTAAGAAAAACTAATRTTTGTACTGTCGTAGAACCGTTTTTCGGTAAATTTAATATGCGATCCAAACGTCACATTTTATAGACTAGGTTCAGCCATCAAAAACGAGGAATTACCTATTGTTTTCACTATTATGGCTACGAATTACACGACACACGACCTATATAATAGTAATTTAGTATTTTTGTAAAAATGCGGTATTATAATTTGAATTTAAATTCATGTGTTCCAACTCGAAAATTATGGATTATATATAATTTGTTATCCTACTATATATATATATATAAATTACAAACATATTTTTCGCCTCGATAAAGTCGAAAAGCGTTACCTGTGGACTATTATTTAATCAACACCGYAGYCGACCGGACGATTAAATCATATCATTGATAACTATACAATATTATTATTATAATAATGGCATGTGATTACAGGTCGAAAATTCAGTGATCGAACAACGAAAAGAAAAATGCCCTGTCGTTACCAACCGGGAAGCCTGTTGAGCCTATCTGAGGACAGAGTCGTGTCCGATCTGGTGCAGACATGCTACCAGATGCACGAGCTGGCCCGTCAAAACGGGTTTGCGTCGCCGTCGCAGACGTTCGCGTTCGCCCGACACCGGATCCGGCCGTTTTGGGCCGCCGCCGTCCCCGCGCTCGTCCGCCACCAGTTGTTGACCAAGTGCATGGCCGTGCTGGCGGATGCGATCCGCGAGGGCCACTCCGTGAGCGCCGCGGCGGACAACGTACCGCTGTACCTGCTTGGCGTCATGCTGGACGGCGAAGTCAGGCAACTGCGCGTCCAACTATGCTGTTACTACGGGTGTAGCCACCAGACCGCTCTACTCAAGCTGCTGGCGCAAGAGGCCAGGGGCCTGGAGTCTCTAGAGCTGGTTAGGCCGACGCTATTACGTTTAGGTATATCAATATTATACTATTATTTTATTACGTACCAACCACTGTTTATACCTAAATGGTATTATTTTACAACGGACCGGGTGTTAGTGCACTTAATAATATAAGTCAAATCAAWTTTTAACCTATGATTTAAAATCAAAAAGTAATCTAAAATAATATGTACAGTMAAAAAAAATGGCTGCATACGAATTGCGTCCCAAAATACGAAAATATGCATTGCGTATCCGAGTTGCGTCCGTGATTTTTCGCATCATATGTATAGGTATGAGTTGCGTCCTGGTTAATAATTGATTAATATTGGTTAATACTTTAATAGTATACATATTTTCCTTCCCACTTTTACAGACTAATGAGGACTGTCATTTGGATAAATGGTGTGGTTGAAACTTGAAAATGTATTGTAATCAATAGGGCTAGGATTTTGTAGCATTTGCATTTTCTTTCGTAGTACTCCAGGACATGGCTAATCAAAAACAAAATTCGATTCATTCATCAYAGAGTTCAAWTATRYAATTTTGTTTTTGCTTTTTTTGCTTTTTCTTGTGATATTCGTAAATAAATGCTTTATTGGTACTTTTTTGTCAGTTTATTAGCTTTTTAATTGGTTTTTGTTAATTATACGCATATTTTAACAT